AGAGCTGGCCTCTCCCTCTGCCTGCCCCTACCTTCCTCCCTGTCCCAGCTCACACCTCTATTCCTGTTCCTGCCCCCACATCCAGGTCACAGTTGCGTCTTGCTCTCCTGTGTGTCGTCACCCACAGTGCCTGTCCCCCTGTGGGCTGTGAGTCCCATCTCATTTCCCCAGACCTAGAAGGGCGCGGACGGCGGGCGGCGGTTCCACAGATGAGACTAGGGCAGTGTATCCACACAGCAGCCTGGCCCCGTGGGGCTCTCACATCTAAGTTCAGTTTCACCAACTGCCCAGTCCCTCCTTGGCACTGGCCACTCGAGCCTGGCTCCCGGCGCCCTGGCCGCACAACACAGTGTGGACTGGAGAATTCACCATCACAGAGAGGTCTGCGGGTGGTGATGGTTTTGAGAATCAGCCATTGGGTGAACTACTAGTACTAATATCAATATCAGCATCAGTAAAAGAGTAGGGGCTGGAGGTCAGCGCCTGCACTACTGTCCACCAGCAGACTGTCTCCCTCCTTGGGTCCCAAGTGGCCTCAGCTCTCTTCCTCTTTTAATGAGGAAGCTCTCCAAGCACAGGGCACAGGGAGCCACGGGGTGGCTTGCGGTGGCCGGATCCAGTTTCTAAGCCCTCCCTTCTGCCAAACACACAGAATCAACCCGGCCGTGACTGGTTTTCCCTTTGTTTAGTTTTCTGAGTCTTTTTAGGCACATAGAAATTGTAGGCATCACTGTGGACACTTGTGATCGAGGCACACTGGCATGGGCTGGCTGTCTGCCACCCATGTCACCTCCCGCACTTGACCCTTTCTTGTGGTGAGAACTTTCAAAATCTGCCCTCTTGGCAAGTTTCAAGTACACAAGGGACTGTGTATGACAGTCACCAGGACACACAGCAGGTCTGGAACTCATTCCTCCCAACTTTGACACCTCTCCGGCCCCACCCACGGCCCCCTCTCTATGGCCTTGGCTTGTTGAGACCAGGTCTGAGCAAGGTCATGTGGCATTTGTCCTTCTGAGCCAGTGGTGCCTCTTTCTAATCCATCCATGTGGCTCTCCAGGATGGCTGCAGCCAGGCCCCTTCCCAGGCCACAGCCTGAAGGCGCGGAGCTGGCAGGGCCAGGCAAAGGCACCACAGTCCCCACAAGCTGTCCCCACCGCTGCTTCTTTCCTGGAGTCGGGCCCTGGGTCCTGGCTGGAAACCACTGATCCCTTCAGCTGACAAGCTGCTGAGAGTCCCTGCCCAGCACCCGCCACCCGCAGAGTGGACACCTACCTCCGAAGAGGAAGAGGGTCCCAGTGAGCAGCAGGAGGAGGTAGGCTTGGAGGAGGAAGCTCAGAAACCCCGTCATCCCCCCGAAAACCATCAGGATCAGGCTGAGCGGCAGCAGAATCACAAACGTCCCGTGCATAGCTTGAGGAGAGAGACAGGGGACACGGGCAGCAGAGGTTACTAACATGCCCCGTCCCCCCAACACACAGCTCCTGAGCACCCACCACGGCCGCACCCGAAGCTGGGGAAATGACCACCACTGCTTCTGATGACAATGACTTGGTGGCAGTGCCTCGTCCTGCGCGGTGCGTGCCCTGAGCCCCGCCATCCGCCCTGGGAACCCGGAGGTGCTGTTATAGGGCTCCTCACTTATCCCCCGGTGCCCACTCAGGAGCGGAGAAACCAAGATCCTGCCCTCGGGCCACACGCCAGCGAGTGGAGTCCAGCCGTGAGCAGACTCCGCACACCAGAGTTGAGAGCCGGTGACCAACAGGGCTGCCCAGTAGCAAGGAGGCTGGCAACAGCGCCCCCGGCGGTCGCTGAGGGCAGCAAGCGGCGGAGCGAGGAGCGGGTGCAGAGCGCGGCAGGGTGGGACCAGGGGGCGAGGGGCGGAGCCTGCAGGAGGCGGAGCCGTGGGCGGGGCCAGCCCGCAGGGGCCTTGGCCCTTCTCTCCCAGAGAGCCAGAGTCGTCACAGTTTGGGGCAGCGAAGTCCACCTAAGGGAACGGGCTTCTGCAGGACTGCCCTGGGTGCTGGTTGGAACTGACACCGCCCAGCTCCCAGGAAGGTCTTGAAAGGTCTTTGCCGATGCTTAAAGTTAAGGAGCGCAAGATGAGATCGTCCTGGATTCGAAGGTCCTGCGTCGCAGGAGTGTCTCCTCGAAGAAAGACTGAAGACGCGGAGGAGGAGGGACAAGAGGGTGGAGGCCGAGCCTGGAGGAGCCCAAAGCTAGCTTCGTCCTAGGCCATGGACTTTGTGGTGGCCCAAGGACACTAAAGCAAGGGACAAGGCAGGAAGTGGAGTGGCCCTTGGCTGGGGGGAGCGGTGGTTGGACATCTCTCTTCACGACCAGATACCCAGGGGCTGGAGCCAGGGGTCAGCAGCAGGGGCTCAGCACACGGCCAAGGGAGGAGCCCTGCCACAGGCAGATAGTCACACAGGTGGCCTGGGACCCCTCACAACGGTGGCGTATGGGACTCTAGGGCCCCCATGGTGTAATCCGGCCAGCGGGTTGGAACCGGGCCTGGGGCCACTGGAGAAGCCGTCAGGGTGGAGCCTGAGATAGAATTCCCTCCCCCCCAGCTTGGGACAGCAAGAGGACAGCAAGGTCAGCTGGCCAGACACAGGCTGCCACCGGATTCTGCCGGCAAGACGCCATCGCCAGAGGCGGCCCCTGGACCTCGAGCTACAGGATGTGAGCCACAATAAGCTTCTTCATTAAAACCTACTGGACAGGGAGGGTTGTCAGGGGCAACAGAAAACGCACTGACCCGTCCACAGTAATAAAGATGGTGAAGATAGCCGTCCGGCCTCCACCACACCGCTCTGTCTTCAGGTCCCCAAAGAGCCACCAGCCTTGGCAGGCGGAGAAAACCAGGCTAAACTCCCTCCCGGGACCACCAGAGATGGCAGTACTGTCACCGTGGCCTAGACGGCATGGCTGCCCTCCTTCCTCCTGTCCAAGGAAGAACCAGCGGCTCAGTGCAGCTGCTGAAGTGTGACCCTGGCCCCGCAAGCTCAGGCTCCTGCGCGGCTCCATCCCCGTCAGCAGCTGAGAGATGGGATCATTTCTCATGTAGAAATTAATGAGGTTTCCAGGCCCCCCGGAGCTCCCCAGACACCCCTCGAGCCAACTTGACCTACACATTCAATTAAATGTCTGGGTATGAACAGCTCCCCAGGGGAGGGTTGTACAATCTCCTGCAGAAATCTGGTCGAGCTCTGTGTGCATATGTGTGAAGTCATATTCTTTATTTTGTTTGGGTTTGTCTTTCTTTTTTTTCAAGAATCGCAGTCGTGGAACATGAATATCGATTCCAAGTTTTGTTCTACTGCGAACTGCACCGGTCTCAAACCACATCTCAGAATGTGCTTAGAGTGTGGATGTGGCAGAGTGACAGATTTCTGGGAACTGGGATATTTGGATGGTGCTGGGATATCATTGTGGGGTTGGAGTGAGGGTGATCAGTCAAAAGACCACTTAATAGGGCATACAAGCTGTGTGACTGTGGACGAACGACTAGACCACTCTGCGCCTCATGGGTTAGATGAGAACTCCTGCCTGCCGACTGCCGAGGACTTATTAAATTCAGCAGACACACAGAGCTCAGCACACAAAAACGCATAAGTCACAGAGAGTTGCTCCCTTGTGGCTATGTAGACAGAGCACACACAGGGCTTATCACCCAAACCAAACACTCTGAGAGCCAGATAATCATCGGCAGTCACTAAGCCATCTACCATGACCGCAGCATACACCAGGAGCAGTCAGGCCAACCAGGACAGCGGGTCAGGCCTGTGTCCACCCCTGTGTTTAGCAAACACCCAACACCTGCTGCCTACAAGTGCCAAGCTCCGGCAGCTTCCAGCCACGGCCGAGGCAGGTTATGACCCAAGTTTGCAACCCTGTCTCCAGGCTTCCAGGGATGGAAACGGGTCAAAGAGCCCCTCCGGTGCAGCGCTTCCAGCCAAGCCCAGGTGCAGGGTGGCCCCGGGGACCCACAGGAAGCATGGAAACCTCTGAACTCCTAGGAAGACAGGGATTCTGTAACCCGGGGCTGAGCCCCAGGCCTGGGAGGGCTCTGGGCCCATAGCCAGCCACGGGGTCCTAGATGTGACCTCCAAGAGCTGCACCACCTGACAAGGTCATGGGGCATGACCCAGGGAGCCAGGCAAGGCCACGTCACAGGCAAATCAAGGCCTGCCAGCCTCTCAGAGGCCAAAGCCCCTCCCCAGCACAGGGGCTGGCTGCCTGGTCCTGCTCGGTCTCCCTCCCTACAGACAGGCTGTTTGTCCCCACTTCTGACACTGCCCAGTCAGACCCAACCCTGCTTCCTTGGACCCTCCCAAAACCACCCATCAAATCCCTGGTCCTGTTGGTCCCTCTAAAAACCTGTGTCTGAGGCGCCCAGAGTCCTCGTGGTGCGTGTCGACCTGGTTGCAATGAGCAGTGAGCCACTTGTCCAGCTGCAGATGGTCCCTGGGGGTCTGAGGCTGAGGGCACCAGCAGGGCCAAGGGCTGTCCCAGGCACTAGGAGGGGAGGGCGCGATGGAGTCAGGCAGGGCAGGAGGAACCCAAGGCCAGAGACCCAGCGCTTTCTTCCTCGTGCGTGGTTCATTTCCTGGGGAGCCGACAACGTGCACAGTCTGCAAACTGGAAAGGTCCAAGAGCCGAGCCAGAGGGCCGGGCAGGGATGACAGGGACAGGGACAGCAGCAGACTCGGAAGCAAGAATCCCGACTCCTGGACTCCAGTCTCATGCCATTCCCTGTTGGTGGTCTTGGGAGGAAAGGGTCCTGGACCTGAGACCAGCAGACACACCTCCTCACCCCGGGGCCTTGGGGACAGGGGGCCTGGCAGGGGCCTATTCTATGATAATGAGGCTGCCGCTATAAACTGGGCGGCTAGCAGGCAACAGGAACTTACTCCCTCACAGTCCCAGAGGCCCGAATTCTGAAACCACGGTGTCAGAGGACCGAGTCCCATCAAAGGCTCCAGGGAACGCCTCCCTTGCCTCTTCCACTTTCCTGTGGCTTCAGGGACCCTGGACCCGCCTGGGCCTGTGGCCACACCACTGCAGTCTCCACTTCCTCTTCTCTCCTCTCCGTATAAGGACCCTTGTCGTTGGATTTAGGGCCCGCCCAGAGCATCCAAGACGATCTCGTCTCCAGATCCCCGAGTGCGTCTGCAGAGCGCTTCTTCCAAATAAGGTTCTGGGGCTGAGGACGTGGGCACATCTGGTTGCAGGTGGCACCATGTCCCTCCCCACTGTCTTGTATGGTATACAGCAGGAGCCTCATAAGCGGCACAGGAGATGACAGCTGTGGTTATTATACAGGATTGATAATATGAAATGCCGACAGGCGTCTCATCAAGGTCAACGTGGATGCCCAAGTGAGGGCATCTTTTCAGTTCAAAAACGCTCTGCTGCAGTAAGTCAGGGGCAAGCGACCCACGAGGAACAGAAACGAGACGCTCCTGCCAGGGGACATCTGTGTTTCCCTGTGACCAACATGTCGTGCCCATCAGCCTTTCACCACTGGGACCAAAACACCTACAAGAACAACTCGGGGGGGGGGAGGTTTATTTTGGCTCAGTTTCAGAGATCTCGCCCGTGGTCCTCTGGCTCCAGCGCTGGCCCAAGGTGAGGCAGATCGCCATGGCGGAAGGTCGTGGTGGGGGAGGATGCTCAGCTCCTGGCAGAAACAGAGCCATCCAAGCCCTGGCAGAAGAAAGGCTCCAGAACCAGCCGCCAAAGGGCCACCACGCCACCGACTTTGACTCCACGTGTCACCGTGACTTGGGGACTCCAGGGAGGTTCAGAAACACATGGTCCTATGGGGCCGGGAGGGGCGTGGCTTTTTAAATGTTGGTGAATAGTTGTCCCTGAGTCTGTCTTGAGGACAGGGCTGTCCTTCGCTGCCTTCATGGTCTCCGTGATGCACCGTGACACGGAAAGAGCAGGAGTCGGCCAAGTCCCGCATTCGAATCCTGACTCCGCCTCCCACTGAGCACAGCACCATCTCTGCAAAGCCCGGTTTCCTCACCTGTCGACTGGACCCTGGACGCTGGCCTGGCGGAGCCACGGTGAGCACTGCACCGAGGACAAGCGAGCGTTCCTTCCTTTCCTCTCATCCTGCCGACTCCACCAGGAACAAGCTTTAATTCCCATTCACAGACTGAGACCCCAGGTACCCAGGCCACCTGCCCACGTGCTGTGAAGGGCCCTCTGAAATCCACGGCAAAGCGGGTTGGCAGAGAGGGTCGTGGGGCTGCAGAGAGGGGCACTCAGCCAAGCTGGGGGTGGGGGCGAGGAAAGAGGGGAAGCGTCCCGGCTGAGACCCGAGGTAAGGGCAGGAGGCGTGAACTGGGCTCAGAGGTGGACGGGTGGGCACAGAAGACAACACAGATTGCCACCGTCCA